TCTTTTATTCTTATTTCTAACTTTCTGATTTTCTTACCTAATTACATTGGAAGCTCTTCTAGAATATAAAAAGAGATCATAAAAATACCAGGCATGAGACTGACTATAATATAATATATACCCACATCAAGCAAGATGCTGGCTATTGAAGAGACACTTTTTCTAATATTAATAACACCCTTTATTTCTGTTTTTATTAATGTAAACTACTTCAGTCGTTAGAAAATTGTTTGGCAGTTGCTAAAAGCATTAAACATAGACTTAACATTAAAAAAAGTTGCCATTGAGCCCAGCCCATTCTAACTCAATGAAACTACAGGGCAGTGGTTCTCAACCTTCCTAATGCCGCGACCCTTTAATACAGTTAGTTCCTCATGTTGTGGTGACCCCCAACCATAACATTATTTTTTTTGCTACTTCATAACTGTAATTTTGCTATTGTTATGAATCGGGCGATCCCTGTGAAGGGGTAGTTCGAGCCCCAAAGGGGTCATGACCCACAGGTTGAGAACCACTGCTACAGGGTTTCCAAATCTTTATAATCTTTACAGAACATTTCCTTGCCAGTGTCCAAATCAAGCCATCCTTTTGGTTAGCAGGTGACCACTTTACTCACAGCACCACCAATACTCCTTGGAAGACTAACATAACCCCCTACCATTGAGTAAATGATTCCAAATCATTTTGACCCTCTATAGACTGTACATCTTTAAGGTAACAGAGAGCCTCAGCTTTTGTCTCCCCACCTCGATGTTCAGCAGCCCAGCGCTGCTGGGTTCGGAGGGCTCCTAAACTGAGGAGTCGTTAAATAAAATGTACCATAGGCATACAAATGGATTGTTTTCCACCAGGAAATGAAGTATTGACAACACAGACGATATCACTTATCATATTATTCCAATTATATGGAATGGCCATAATAGGCACATCTATAGAGACAAAAGATAAATTTAGTGGTTACCAAGGGCCGGGGGAAGGAGCCCTGGTGGTGGAGTGGTTATGCCTCAGGTTATAATCCGCATGGTCAGCCGTTTGAAACAGCCAGCGGCTCTGCGTGACAAAGACTGGGCTTTCTTCTCCCGTAGAGGTCACTTTGAGTCAGCATTGACTTTATGGCAGCAAGGGCCGAGGGAAGGGAAATATGCAGAGTGATTGCTAATGTGCATGGTTTATGGTTTCTTTTGGGGGTGATGAAAATAGCCTAGACTTAGAAAGGGTTGATGACTATACTCTGTAAATATATTGAAAATCACTGAATTGAACACTTCACTAGGGCAAATTTGATTATACCTTAAATTATAAATGAATGAAGGATATTTAACCTAACAGTCCAAAGAAAAAAATCTCCATGGCTGCATAACTTTTAAATTGGCAACTTTTGAGATGAGCCAGATCATTAGAGTAGATATATATGAAGTGTCCAGTCCAGTGGTTCTCAACGTGTGGGTTGCAACCCCTTTGGGTGGGGGGTCGAACGACCCTTTCACAGGGGTCACCTGATTCATCACAGTAGCAAAATGATAGTGATGAAGTAGCAACAAAAATAATTTTATAGTTGGGGGGGGTCACCACAACATGAGGAACTGTATTAAAGGGTCGCGGCATTAGGAAGGTTGAGAACCACTGCTCTAGTAAGAAGAGGTAGTCTGTAAATACTAACCTCCACTTCGTCTTTACCTGGGAAATCATGCTCCTCTCCCATTCTCCATCTGTGTGTAGGGCTTATCAGGAAATGGTTTTGTAAACTAAGGACTAACTGCATTTTCCTAGCTTATACACTAAAGCAAAGGTAAGGCTCCACATTTGTTTATTTTGGATTCAAGTACTTTAACACAGCAAAATAAGGATTTCTAATCAGCAGAGGGTGGACAAACAGCCCAATACTTAAACTTTTACTTATTGTTCCTTTTTCCAAACTTGTATTTAAGATAACTGATAAAATAACTCAGA